ATTAAAAAACAAAGTCCAAGTATATGCTGCCTTCAGGAGACATGTTTTAGCTGCAAAGACAAACAGACCAAAGTAAAGGAGTAGAAAATGATACTCCAAGCAAATGACATCCCGAGAAAAGTGGGTACAGTCATACTTAAATCAGACAAAATAGATTACAAGATAAAAAGTTAACGAGACAAAAATGGATAGTTTATGATAAAGGGGGCAAGACATCAAGAAGACATAACATATTACCATATATGTACCCAACCTGGGAGCACTAAAATATATAAAGCAAGTATTAACAGAATTAAAGGGAGAAACTGACAAAAATACGAACATTGTAGGGGACCTAAATACCCCATTGACAGCTATGGATAGATCATCCAAACAGAAAATCAGTAAAGAAATATCAGCATTAAATGACACATTAGACCAAACAGACATAATCAATATTTACAGAACTTTTCATCCCAGAGCACCAGAATATACACGCTTGCCTAGCGCACATGGAACATTCTCAAGGATAGACCATATGTTGAAACACAAAACTAGCCTCCACAAATTTAAGAAGATTGAAATCTACCAAGCATATTCTCCAACCACAATGCTTGAAACTAGAAATCAACTACAAAAAAAAAAAAAAAAAAAACTAGAAAAACCACAATTTGTGGAGATTAAGCAACATGTTACTGAACAGCTATGGGGTTAAAGAAGAAATAAGAGATCAAAAGATACATAGAGACAACTGAGAATGACAATAAGACATATCAAAATCTTTGGGATGCAGCAAAAGTGGTAATAAGAGGGACGTTTACAGCATTACAGGCCTATCTCAAGAAACAAGGAAAATCTCAAATAAACAACCTAATACTTCACCTTAAAGAAATAGAAAAAGAACAAACAAAGCCCAAACTCAGTAAAATGAAGGAAATAACAAAAATTAGAGCAGAATTAAATGAAATAGAGAACAAAAAATATAGAAAAAATTAATGCAACAAAGAGCTGGTTCTTTGAAAAGCTTAATAAAATTAACAAACATCTAGCTAGACTAAGGCAAAAAGAGAAAAGACTCAAACAAAAATAGGAATGAAAGAGAAATTACAACAGACACCACAGAAATACAAAGATCTATATACAAGAACACTTATAAAAGGCTATATGCCACCAAATTCAATCACCTACAAATAATGAACAAGTTCTTAGAAATATATGACTTTCTTAGACTTAATCATGAAGAACTGGAAAATCTAAATAGACGAATCAATAGTAAGGAAATTGAAACAGTCATCAAAAATCTCTCCAAAAGTAAAAGTGCAGGACTGGAAGGCTTCACTAGTGAATTCTACCAAACATTCAAAGATTTAATACCTGTCCTTCTCAAACTGTTCTAAAAAACGGAAGAGACAATAATTTCTAATTCATTTTATCAGGTCAACATTAGCCTGATACCAAACCTGGCAATAACAAAACAGTAAAAGAATATTAGAGACCAATATCTCTGATGAATATAGATGTAAAAATCATAAACAAAATACTAGCAAATCCAATAAAACAATAAATCAAAAAGATAACACATCATGATCAAGTGGGGTTCATTCCAGGGGCACAAGGATGATTCAACATAAGCAAATGTGATACATCACATTAACAAAATAAAAGATAAAAACTGCATAATCATATCAAAAGATGCAAAAAAGAGCATTTGACAAGATATAAAATCCATTTATGATCAAAACACTCAATAAAATGGACACAGAAGGAAAGCACCTCAACACAATAAAGGCCATATATGACAAACCCTCAGTTCACATAATACTCAATAGTGAAAAACTGAAAGCTCTTTCTCTAAGATCAAGAACAAGATAAGGATGCCCAATCTCATCACTGTTACTCAACACAGTAGTGGAAGAATTAGCCAGAGCGATCAAGCAAGAGAAAGAAATAAAAGGCATCCAAATTGGGAACGTAGAGGTAAAATTGTCACTTTTTGTTGATGATATGATTCTTCATATAGAAAACCCTAAAGACTCCACCAAAAAAAAAAAAAAAAAACTATTAGAAACAATAAACAAGCACAGAAAAGTTGCAAGATACAAAATCAATGTACGAAAATCCATTGCATTCCTATATACTAACAATGAAATATCACAAAAAAAAAAAATGAAGAGAATAATTCCTTTTGCAATTGCAACAAAAAATAATAAAATACCTAGGAATCAACAAAAGATGTGAAGGGCCTATACACTGAAAACTACAAGACATTGTTTTAAGAAATGAAGAGACACAAAGAAATGGAAAGATATTCCATGTTCATGGATTGGAAGAATCAACATAGTTTAAAAGGTCATATTACCCAAAGCAACATTCAGATTTAATGCAATCTCCATAAAAATCCCAATGGCTTATTTCAAAAAAATAGAACAAAAAATCCATATCGGTATGGAACCACAAAAGACCCCAAATAGCCAAAGAAAGTCTGGGGGTGGGGTGGGGAAAGTCAGAAGTATCACACTTCTTGATGTCAAATTATACTACAAAGCTACAATAATCAAAACAGTATGGTATTGGCAGAAAAGCAGACACATAGACCAATGGGACAGAATTGAGAACCCAAAAATAAACCTACACTTGTATGGACAACTAATTTTTGAAAAGGAGCTAAAAACATAGTGGAAATAAGAAAGCTTCTTTAACCCTTTTCCCATTTAGGGAAAAAAAAAAGTGCAGCTCGCTGCCACCATTAATATCACACCTACGTAGGAATGCTACATTTTCTAGGATTTGACATTTTTAATGATCAAGAATTACTAAATTTTGTAAATGGAAATAACACTCCTAAAAACAGAATGCTATAAATAGAATGATGTTGTTTGTTTCCAAAAACTATTCATATACTAGAGCGATGCGAAAATAATAAAAGCAAGATATTTTGTGGCAAAATTTAAGGGTAAGGTAAGACTGTAATCCGCAGGTTATCTCAGGGTAAACACTGCAGCTGCAAGCACCGTCGGTGAATATTCTCAGGAGCAAATGGGAAATGGGTTAATAAACGGTGTTTGGAAAATTGTAAAGCCATATACGAAAGAATGAAACTAGATTGCTATTTGACACCATATACAAAAATTAACTCAAAATGGATCAAAGATATAAATATAAGACCTAAAACAAAAAAAATACATAGAAGAAAACATAATTAATACCTTAAACTTATGAACATTGGTCTCGGGGGATTTTATGAAGTTGATCCCAAAGGCAAGGGAAATAAAAGCAAAAATAAATGAATGGGACAACATCAAACTAAAAAACTTGTGCACAGATCTACATAAAACAAAAAGGCAAGAACCAAACGGAAGAAGATATTTGCAAATGATACCTCCTATAAGGAGCTAAATATCCAAAATATATTAAGGAGCTAATATCCAAAATATATAAAGAATTCACAACCCAGTGGCAAAAAAACAACAACAATCCTATTACAAAAGAGCACACGACCTGAAAACTTTTCCAAGAAGATATACAAATGGCCAACAGATATATGAAAAGATGCTCAACTTCAGTAACTATAAGGAAAATGCAAATTAAAACCACAATTAGAATGCTGTCATAAATACCACAACGAGATACCACCTCACACCTGTTAGAATGCTGTCATAAACAGGACAAGTAATAAGTGTTGGAGAGGCTGTGAGGAAAAAGGAACCCTCATACACTGCTGGTGGGAATGTAAATTGGTACAGCCACTATGGAAAACAGTATGAAGGTGCCTCAAAAAATTAAGGATAGAACTACCATATGACCCAGCAATCCCTCTTCTGGTTATCTAGCCCGAAATTTTGAATACGTTTATTGGTCAACATATATGCACCTCTATGTTCATCACAGCATTATACATGGTAGCCAAAACATGGAAACGACCTAAGTGTCTTTCAATCAATGGGTGATTGAATAAAGACATGGTATACATATATACAATGGAATATTATTCAGGCATAGAAAGGATGAAATATGGCCATTTGTGACAAAATAGGTGAGTCCTGAGAGTAGTATCACACTAAGTAAAATAAGTCAGATGGAAAAAGACAAGAACTGTTAAGATTTTACTCATATATGGGATATAACAGAAAACAACAAACAAAACAAACTCAGACACAGACCATAGGATGAAGGTTACAGAGGGAAAACAGGGGAAGGGGGAAAGACAGAGTGTAAAGGGGGTCAAATAAAATGTGGAGGGAGACTGGACTTTGGGTGGTAAGCACACGATTTACAGATGATTTATTATAGAATTGTACACTTGAAGCTTATATGTTAACTATTGTCGGTCTAATAAATTTAATGTAAAAAAAAAAGGCTTTCTGAGGTGGGGGCCCTTCGGGTGTTGACACTGGGATGGAGAACAGAGCAGAGGCTTTGGGCAGGTATGAGAAGGGGGCATGGTGGAGGTCTTCTTAGTTTGAGTTTCTCCAGAAGCAGATGCCAAGGCAAGCATTTGAGATTATTTGAGAGGGGTGAACATTGATAGGGGAAGCAGAAAGTGACATAGAAAAAGGAAAGCAGCCAAGAAGGGGTATGCTATCAAGCCAGAACCACTGTGGAGAACTGGAGCTTACTTTTGTTAGGGAACTTTGAGAGCCCATGTAGAACACACACTTCCAAATTATCTCCACAGAGAGGTGAGGGACCTGGAGTATTTATACACCATCTCCTATCAGTAACTGGATGAGGGCTGTTGGAATGGGAAGCTGCATGAACTCCCTGATATGGAAGGCTTGCCATGCTCAAACCTAGAGCAGACCGAGCACCAGTAGTCTAAGAATGCCCACAGGCAAAGTTCGTGTGTTGTCACTGGCAGTCAAACCACTGTGTGTTGATGGGGGAGGGTCGCAGGACATGGACTTGGCACCCAGTGTCTGCTACACACTCCCACCCAGGCATATGCATCCAAACACTACTCTTGAGCCAGGCATCACAGCTACTCCCCTGCACCAATACTTCCAGAGATTAGACGATGACAGTTCTAGTCCAAATTGAGTTTAATAGGGAGTTTCGGGGAGGGATTGATGGGAAATGCAGAGGTCTGGGACAGGGGCCAAGTTGAGTTCTGAATTAGAAACCAGGAGGTCCTAGGGGACTCTAATCCAGGAGAATTCTTCCTATGTCTCAGGGTTAAGGACCTGAAGGGTGGGATCCTGGGGAGGTTGGGGAGGGCATCATAAGAGCTCTACTGGGATGGTACTGGGAGCTGTGTTGGGATGCCCCAAGTACCATGTAGGCGGAGTTACATCTCATATTCCAAGTGTGAAGAGCTAAGTTAGGGGAAGGGGCCCCAAAAGAGCCCAGCAGGAAAGGGGTTAGGAGTCCAGGTTGTTTCACAGAAACAATCAAGGGGCCTCGATTTCACAGAAATCAACAAGGGGGCTCCTTGTGAGTGAGGGAGGGATATCACACCACCCCAAATATTGGGGACTGTTCCCCCCAGCAGCCATTTTGGGGTTTTAATGTAAGACCCCAGTGGCAGGACATTCCACATACATTATCAGGGATTTGCAATATTAGCATACGCTGGCTGTCCCACAGGACGGTGGGGACTGGAAAATCAGTCCAGGTTCTGGGTTTGAGTCCTAAGAGGACAGGCCTGGGGGTGCCACACGGCTCCTCTTCAATAGCTGCCGGAGCTGTGAACAAGACAAAGAGGGAGAAGTTCTGGAGGCTGCAGAAAAGGTGGGAGAGGCACAGCTGGGGTTAAAGAAAAAAAGCTGAGTGGGATCTGTTGAGTTTGAAGGCTGGAGTTTCGGAGTCAAGATTTGGGTTTAGGGGTGAAGGTCTGGGTCCACACACTGAGAAAAGGCTCAGGAACCACAATTGGGAATGAAGGGAACGCTGTTGCTAGTTGGAGTTCCCAGCATGCGGTTTGCATTGAGGATGGGGAACTGAACGGTAGAGACTAGGGGTCAAAGGTCACGTTTGGGGGTCAGAAGTACTACTTTGATGTCAGGACTCAGGGTTGGAAGTAGAGGTCATACTTTGAGGTCAGGAGTCACCATTACAAGGTAAGAGATCAAATGCTGGGGTCAGAGGTCACATTTTAAATTCAGGGTTAGATAGGGTTCAAGGTCACCTTCTAAGATTACGAGTCACCCTTTAAGGTCAGGAATATGTAGGGTCAGGGATTCACCCTGTTAGGTCAGAGGCCACTCTGCAGGAAGGGTAGGCGCAGTGCTCACCCCCTCAGGGCCCGGCCCAGGCCGCAGCAAGTGGACAGGCTGCTCGTTCTCCAGGTTGCGCAGTGTTGGATCTGCCCCAGCTGCCAGCAGGTGCCGCACAATGGCCTCCTGGGGTGGCCCAGGGGGCAAGGCAGCCGCCATGTGGAGGGCTGTGTTCCCATGGGCCTGAGAACAGTAAGGAGAGGACTGATAAGAATTCAGACTCAGCTGGCCTGGACCCTCAACATCATACTTCATACTCTGCCACATTCACATCCCATATCTCGCCCCTTTGACATTCCAGAACCCACCTCTACAACCACATTTCCACACATCTCTGAGTCCGACACATTCCCCCCAACCTACGTCCACATCCTACACATCCCTTTCAAGGTCCTATATATTGTCTCTTCCGTGGCCACAGCCCATGGGACTCCCAACATTCCTCTCTGCTCTCTCTGCCATATCTCTCACAATCTGCATGTTCTAGCCTAGGCCCCCACCTTCATGTTGACAAAGGCCCGCAGGTCTCCCCGTGGCAGCTCCAGCAGCAGCTGAACCAGGGTGGGGTTGGCAGCCTGCACAGCCAAATGAAGAACTGTCTTGTTGCTTTTGATCTCCTGTGGGGAAGTGGATGGCAAAGGTCAGGCCAGTCCTCAAAGCCAATACCTCTCTATGGAGCCCAAGAGCCTTTAGAGACCCTGTCTCTTCTTTGCAAGCACCCAAGCATGCTCTATACAGTTGTATGTGTTGTACACTACACAAAACACCACGTTTAAGAGGTGCCATTTGCATCACATGTCGCAGAACTGTACATTTATAAGACAATTTTCCAACCCGAGTGTTTGAGAAAAAGGCTCCTTTCCTAATCCTCTAAAACAGCTCTCTGGGCTAGCAGCTGCTCTGATCACCCCACATTCTATTAAGCACAGTAAAATGCACCATATTCCACATGAATTGTACTTTATCTACAAAGATAGGACTCGAGCAGCATTAATCAGTCAACTAACAAAGCCTATATCCACTTCCATACTGAGCTGTTCTCTTCATATTTTTGAGCAAATAAAGCTGTCTTCCACAATGACTTTTACTATGTACCTTTAGAGAATTTGTAATAATGAACATTAAAAATGTTACGTGTTTATACAGGGCAAAACAACCTAGTTGGCTCACCAAATAAATTATGAAGAGAAAACAGAGATGGAGGAGGAAGCTCTAAAGTAAGAGTGACTTAAAAAGACATATCACTGCGATATGTGGGCTTTATTTGGATCCTAGTTTGGTTTTTTTTTAATGAAAAATATATGTCACTTTAAAGCCAAAATGAAATGTGAAATTTGAACATAGCAAGGACATTTGACATCATGAGATTGTTAATTATTTTTAAGGTGCGATAATGGTATTAAAGTTAAAAGAGTTATTATCATTTAAATACAAATATTTATGGATAAAATTATAATGCTTGGATTTGCTTAAAATAATACAGAAAATAGAAGAATAGATGGGGCAGGACTGGCTATGAGTTGCTGGTTATTAATGAGTGGTACATGGAGTTCATTATACTATTTTCTGTACTTAACCAGTGTCGAAATTTTTTAACTAAAACATAACAGAAAAAAAAAAACATGTAGATGTTTAATTCTATCAGCCAGCCTGTAAAGGAGCTACTATCATGGGAAGGAAGATAATACAATTAAGAGCTAGATTCTGGGATTGGACCACCTGGGTGCTAATCCCCTCTCTGAAGCTCACAAACTATAAAATTTTTGACTCTTTGTGCCTCAGTTTCCTTATCAGTAAAATAGAGAAAGTAATAATAGCACATGCATTAAGGGTGTTTTGAGGATTTGATAAGTTAATCTGTGATACTCGGTGCTTGATGACTAGTAAGTACTTGATAAATATGAGCTAAGATCAGTAATATTATTTCCAATTAACAACTGGGCACAGAGCAGTGAAATAATGTGCTCAAGGACACACAGCTGGGCTGGGAAGAGGCAAAGTCACTGTTTGGAGCCCCTGAACATCCAGGTACCCCCACCCCACACGCCCTCCTAGGGGCCAGCTGCCCATAGCCCAGCTCACCTGGCTGGTGTGATCAGCACCCATGTGCAGCAACATATGAACACAAGACAACCTGTCTCGGGCCTGGGTACTCAGCACCCGGGGACAGAGGTCAGGCGGGTACATAGCAACATTGAAGGCCAGAATGGCTGTGTGGAGTGGGGTGAGGCCTGTGGAATGGAGAAAGTGAGGGCTCTGCATCTGAGCACCCACCCTTCCCAGGCCCACCTGCCACACCGGCCCTGCCCACCACCCAACTTACCCTCGAAGTCTCTGGCTTCTAGGTCAACCCGAACCCCTGAGTTAATCACAGCCTGGAAGGAGGAGAAAACAGAGTGTTGGATTAGGGTCTCCCCAGGCCTCCGAGCCCTGGAAGCCAGGATTTGGGCAACCAGTACACCCCACCTGCCATGGCCTTACCAAGAGGACTCCTGGGAGCCCATAGGTAGCAGCCACATGCAAGACAGAACGTCCCTGATGGTCAGTGGCATTGGGCTCTGCTCCCAAGTTCAGTAGATCTTCCACAATCAGGGGCTGGTTGGCAGCAGCAGCCACCAGGAGAGGGGTCTGCAGGTAACAGGAAAGGTCAGTCTGGGCCCCCAGCCCCCTCCCCTTCTGAAAAGCAGGAATTCAGACCCCCAGACCCTCTGCCCTCAGATTCAGGAGTCTAGACTTGTAGCACTCACCTTGCCCTTATGCTCACGAATGTCCAGACGTCTGTACATTTGGAGCCTCTCAGCTGCAGCGTATGCTGCCCAGCGTAGCCCCCGAGCAGCAAACAGGTGTAGGAGCCTGAGGACAGATGTGGGTAACAGTGAGCAGAGCCCCTAGGTAAGGAGACCACAGACTCCATTCCCTTATACTCACGTGTCTCCCTCCTCATCCTGGGCCAATAGTTGTGGCCCCAACGCCAGCATATGAGCACGGGCTGTGTCCAGGGATGGTCCAGTGACCACAGGGGGCAATTGTGGGGGCCCTGAGGGGAGTCCAGAAGGCTTCCAGGATCCCATCTGTGTCAGGGAAGGTTCTGCATAAAGCCGGGTATCCAGGGGCTCCTGAAGGGTACAGACGGTGGGGAGAGCCAGTCAGCTGAGGAGTCTCTCTTCTCAACCCACCACACACACCTACACATACAAAACGCCAGGTAAAGTGGCTGTGTGTCCCACCTGTGCAAAGCGAACTTTTTGGGCTTCAACTTTGCCCTAAGGAATGGGATTGTAACCCAGCCACAAACATCTCAGAACGCCACATGAAGGCAACTGGGAATTTTGGAAGCCCTTCGGCATCCTGTTCCCATTCTGTATCTTACCTCCATACCCTGGGAAAATGGACACGGCTGCCCTGGGTCCGAGGATGGGTAGAAGTCAGGAGTTAGGAAACCTTCAGCAGCAGTAGGGTAAGAGTAGGGGCTGTCTGTGTAGGCAGCATGCGTGTTGGGGTTCCAATCTGGAAAGCCCGCGGTGGGGGCCAGGCTGCCAAGTCCAGAACCCACAGTCTCCTGGTGTGCTGAGAAGTAAGTGTGGCCTGCATGTGAGAGGAGGAGCAGGGACAGGCCTAGTTACCAGAGGTAGGGAAGTCACAGCTAAGGCTAGAGGACCTGTATGAGGGCCTAGAGTCTCCCAAGGTAATGAAAGCTAGTATTTTGGGACAGCCAGGGACTGGAACCTAGGATCGTGGGCCACCAAGGGGTTAGAAGGTTGGACTTCTGGTACTTTAACTCCTAGGCTGCTGAAGTGTTGAGAGCCGAGACTTCCAGGGCCCCTGGGACACCCAAGGGCTGTGCGCATAGACTGCTCGGCTACAGAAAATCTGGGAGATCAAATTTCCATTGGGTCCCAACAAGAATCAGGGCCTCACTCCTAAGTCCCCTAAAGTCTTAAGAGTTGGGATGTTTGAGTTCCTAAAGGAAGGTGGGGCAGGGAGTTGAGGGAAGGAGATAAGTTTCCAGACTTACCAACCTCACCCTCATTCACAGATGGGGTCAGGGGCTGGGCCAGGGAAGGCGGGAACTGTCCCTGTAGAGACATAAGCAAAAAGGAACGAGGGTAAATTTATCTGGCAGATTCCTCAGCATCCATTCCTCACCTATAGGGTATCTAAGGACGACATCTCTTATCATCCCTGAGGACCCAGCAAGCCAGCAAGTCCCTGCCCAACAGGAGAAGGCCTCCTGACAGCTGCAGTTGACTGCGCTTCATAGGCCTCACCGGTGCTCCACCCGCGTCAGGCTGTTGCTGGCGGCGCCTCTGTTCTTCCAGGAGCTTCTTCACTGTCTGTGATGGGCAGTGGCTACGCTCACTCCGGCTCACTGCGGGAAGGGGAATGGGAAGAAGTAATCAGGACCCAAGTGCACCGGGGAGTGGATCTGGGTGCCCTCCTCGCCCTCCCGCGCGGAAAAACTGGCACACTGATGCTGCCTGAGAACGCCAAAGCCAATCTAAGATTTCGGGTGCGGCGCCCGCCTCCGCCGTTTCCTTCCTTTTGCTCCGCAATTTCCCCTCTGACCCAACTTTCCACCAGCGTCGTGGAAACTGAGGACGGGGGAGGAAGGCGCCCCTCTGCGCCCCCTCTCCCCACACTTCCGTAAAATGTCTCCCCCGCTCCCCCCGCCCCAGACCTCCCAGTCCTGAGGCCTCGGGAGTCGCCGGGCATCACATTTTGGACACGCAAATCCAGGTTCCCAACAGCTCTCTGCACAAGAAGCTGCCCTGATACTCTCCTCGGAAACCAGGCGTCCCCAGCCCCTTTCCCGAGGGAACCACGAGTCAACCGCCCCCTAGCAACTTAGAGATACAGAGGTCTAGACTCCGTCTCCACCTTCATACCGAGGAGTCTAGGCCCCATCCCGCAGGAGTCCAGAGCCTAGCACCCACGTCCCCAAGACCCAGGAGTCCTGACCTTCAGGAAGCCCGAGTCCTCAAACCTCACTCTGCCGAGTTCCGACCGAGGAAGTGTTAAGCGCGGGGGGCGGGGGGGGGGCAGGCTCGGAAACAGGCCAGACGCGACGCGCTGACGTCACGGCGCTCGCGCAAAGGAATCTTCCATCTCCCCCTTCCTTCCAGTCGCGCGCCCCAGGTGTCCGGCTGGTAGGCGGGGCGCGCAGCCAAGCGCCGCGCTAGTGGAATCCCCGCACGTGGGGAATTCCTACTCAGCCCCAGGACCCGGGATGGGTGGCGACTCGGAAAGTCACGCGGCCGGGGCAGAATCACCGCCGGCGTGGACCCTATGGCCAGGCACCAGACCTTCCCCATTGAGACCCGTTGTTCATTTTAAACAACCATGGCCCCAAGGGCTCAATCCAGCACCGCTTTCTAAAGGAAGGAGTCCGGGCCGTCAGCCCCCTACTCCCACAGGGCCTAGGGGTCCCGGCTTCTTGCCCTTTCACGCCCGGGACCCAGGGTTCCGGATCCCCAGTCCCCTTTCCCCCAGGACCTAGGAGTCCAGAATCCCATCAGCTTCTCTATCACGACCCTGTCTTCCCACCAAACACTGGGTACTCTCAGTCTCAGGACCCAGGACTTGATGCTCCAGCTCAGTCCCTCGGGGCCTCAAGAATCTGACTCTCGGCCCCTCACTCTTTTGGGGCCGAGCGGGCCTCACCTCCCGCTTCTCCATTACCTCGGGGATTCCGTGGAGCGGATTGCGGGCCCCCAGGGCCCCGGCCTCGGCGCTGCGCCAGCCTTGCTGTTACCCCGCGGAGCCGCCGCCGGGTCCCCGATCTTGGGTCCGGTCCCCCGCGAGTTTTTAAAACGGGGTTCTGGCCCCGCCCAGTCCTGGGTATGGCCCCGCCCACAGTTCGGGAGTCCCCGCTTTGCGCTTGAGCAAACTCAGGCTCTGAATGGGCGGGGCTGACTTTGAGCACAGGACTCCTGAGTGTAGAGGAAGAGGGAGCTGGGGGATCTTCGTACCTTTTGGTGAGGGAAATGGGCCTGGGATACTGGGCTTCTGAAGTAGGGGGGCACTGGCGGCCTGGACTTCTGGGTCTGTGTCTAGGGGGTGCTGGAGACCTCGACTCCTGGGCCTTGGGCAATATTCCTGGGTCCTGGGGGGAAGAGGGAGCTGGGGATTTGGGCTTCCTTGTCTCCAGGTTGGAATGATCTGTAGGTAAAAGTGATATAGGTGAACTCAAATTTCTCCCTTTTTCCCACGTCAACTCCTTTTTCAGAAGTCAGTTCTCATTCATTCATCATTTAAAATAATGTATTGTCGCAGGGGAAGCACTTTGCTGGGTGCTGTGATATAACTGTGAACTAAGCAGGGAGGAATTTCCAGCCCTCAAGCCAACTGACATTCCAGTGGGAGGCTGTTCTCAGTTCCCATCTTGGTGACTAGCCACAGCACTGACCAGTGAATCATATTTCTCCCCTGCTTTCAAGACTCCATGCTCTCCTGGTTCTCCTCCCTCACTTGCAGCTACTTCTCAGTTTCCCTGGCGTTTCCTCCTCTTCCCCCATTCTGGGGGGACAGGAGAATGGTTCTCTGTCTGTGCTCGCTTCCTTGGTGATCTCATCCAGTCTCCTGGCTTTAAATACCATCCATGAGCCTTCGACCCCTCAAATTTACATCTCAGGGCCAGACTTAAGCCCTGAACTCATAGAGGCAGCTGTGGTCATTCTACTTCTCCACAGGGAGACCTATCAGACAGTTCTAAGTAGACCCAAACCTTGGCACCTTCCGCCTAAAACCTGCTTCCCCTCCTTCGCCATCCTGTCAAAGGATGCTTCATCTTTTCAGCTGCTCAGGCCAGAAGCTTTGGTCATTCTAGATTCCTCTCTATCATACTCACCTTTATCTACTCCAACAAGTTTTGTTGGCTCTACCTTCAAAATCTTTCCAGAATCTCCCCCGGGGCCCACACCTTGGTCCACCTGTCATCTCTCACCTGGACAATTGTAGCAGCCTCCCTGGTCTCTCTGACCCCTCTCCCCCAGTTTATCCCCAAAGGCAGTCACAGGGACCCACCACCTCTCCTCCTCCCCCACACACATACCGGAAGCAGATGGTCTTGCCACCAGCAGGGTGACATCCGCTATTGCTGCCTCTCAACTCCCCCACCGTTCATCAGAACTTCTCTGGGCAAAAGCCCTTTGCCAGAACCCTTCCAGCCTCCAGCTCACCATGGTCTTTCAAGGCAACATCCTGTTCCTGCTTCTGCTCCCAGGTGAAGCCAACAGTTAGGGTGGGGGTGAAAGGGGTGGCTTGGGTGGCATCTGAAGGGAGGGATGCTGAAGGTGAGTCCTTCTCCCAGTGCCCCTTCCCTTTCCAAAGATCAGTTGGATTTAGGGCCTAGTTCTCTGGGGGAGGGAAGCTGAGCTCTAGAGTGCCTGCCTGCCTGTTAATCTCTTCTTCTCACTGCTGAGTCTTTGCCTCTTCTCTCTCTGAATCTCTGCGAGCTCCTCTCCCATTTGGCCCTTCTTTCTCATTTGACCTTTCTGGAATGGAGGTTACTTCTCAGGACATCACCTTTCCTTGCATCTTATTTTTGGAACCACCTCTCCCTGCTGACTACCTTCCCTCTCTTTCCACAGTGGCTACAGCTCAGACAATCCCAGGTGAGAAATCAGAACTCCTTCCCCTTTACCGTGCTACTTCAGGTACTGCTTCCATCCCTAAAGCGTGGCCCGAGGGCCCTAGAACCCCGCAGCTGCTCTCCAGCTAACCATCTCATCTCTCATCTCCACATCAGAGTCCCCAGGGGATCTGCAGCCCTCTGCAGATCCCCATCTCACTGCCCTCATCACTAAATTGAAGCCCCATGGATTTGGCCAACCCCCAGCCTCTCTTCAGGAGTACCCACTTTGCCCAAAGCATAGCATATGTCTCACTACGCTGGGACACCCCCAGACTCTCTCTGGATCTCCATTTCCCTTTTCATCCCCCAAGCACAACCCCAGGGAACCTGGGACATCCCCCAGGGACTTCCTCTGCCCATATGCCCAAAACACGATCTTGAAGGCCTGGAACCCCCCTCAGCCATCTTCTTGTTTTGGCCCCCACCGTCCAGCTTCCTGTTCTGGATGTGGGCCCCTCTCGCTGCCGCTCCTAGCAGGGCTTGTGGCCACGGATGCAGTGGTATCCCTGCTAATCGTGGCTGTGGTGTTTGTGTGTGCGCGCCCACGCAGCAGGCCCACCCAAGGTGAGGACAGGAACAGGCCGGGCTTGAAGGGGGTGGTGTCCCTAGGGTGGAGGTCCCCACGGAGGGGGCCCCCGGGGAAGCCCTGGAGGCACTGCTGGGGAAACCCTGGTGGCATTGCTTGGGGGGAACTCCTGAGGAAACCCCTGAGGCACAGGGTCCCAAGGGAGGTGGAGATGTGGTGGGTGGTGGGTGGTCATGCCTCATGCTTTCTCTCCCCCACCCCCAGAGGATGGCAGAATCTACATCAATATGCTTGGCAGGGGCTAATCCCCCTGTAACTGTGACCTTCGACTTCTGATCCTCTCGTCCTGGATTGTGTTGGTGGCACAGGAAACTCACTTCACCCTTTGGGTTGGAATAAAGCAATTGAACTACCTCTACTTCTAATTATTGTTCAAGGAACCCCAGGGTCCCCAAAGCTTCCCTCCTATTTAGCTGTTTCTGGGTCCATGACCCACCCTCCCAGAACCCCACATATCCACATCCCCTCGGCCCAGGGATCTGGAGTAACTCAGCAGTGTTTTGTGCTTCAAGTTTATTTGTGGGCAGGGTTGGGAAAAAGTCTGATTTCTCAGGTAGGGCACTGTGTGGATCTGTATCTTGGTGGGAGTAGGAATAGGGTGCTGGGTAGGCATCAGGAATGGCTGAATCCAGGTATCATGTTGTTGATTGCTATGATTTGGGCTCATTTGTAATACTGCCTCTGTGTGTTGAGGTCACTGTAGACATCTGACCTCTGACCTTGGAGTTCCTAAAGGAATGGACAAGGGTTGAGACCATCAGTGGAAGGGGTCCACCAAATAAAACAAAATCCAGTCTTCTCCCAGTGGCCTGCAAAGCCCCTGGTAGCTTCTTCAACATTGCAGCCATGTTAGAGATGTAGATTTTATTTAAATGCATTCAAAGTTCCCCTTTGTACTCTGCCTCATCATTATGCCCTGCCTCAGGGCCCTTGCACACACATACCATTCTCTCTGCCTGGTTCCTTCTCCCCCTTCAACTCTCCGCTCATGTCACTTCCTCTGAGAGGCACTTCTTGAATTCTCCATCTGTAGTTTCTTCCTCCCACACCCCAGTCACTGTCACATCAGTCTGCTTTATTCCTTCATGATGCCTTCCAAACTGATCTTATTTGTTAATTTGCTTCAAATACGTCTTCCCATCTAGGATGTAAGCTCTGCTGCTGTGCCCCCAGCATCTAGCACATATAGGTGCTCAACAAATTCCACCAAAGAAATGAATAAAGTGAAGCAATGCTTTGCCTTAAAATTTCATTGCCTCCAGTAACTAGAAACCCTCTTCAGTCTTCTGGACATCAGCCAGACTCAAGATTCTTACACTTTACAAAGAGACGTTTTATCCACGAGTGAGGCAAAGCAAAGCTGGTTGCCAACAAATAAAACAGACATCACAGAGCAGGGCTCACAGTTGCTGGGGAAGGGTCTATGGCCCCAAGAAGCAGGTGTCAGACAGAACCCCTGAAATCATATGCATATGTCTGGTCTGGGTGTGTATCTTTCTGGGGAGGGGTCTATTTGGCTTCCATGAGATTCTCAGAGGAGCTCATGACCCCCTAAAGAGTTAAGAAAGATGTTGATGGGCAGGAAATGAAAAGATGTCTCTATCTGCATCATGGTTCTTGAGAAGGATTTCAAGGATACTTGCATCATCTCTAAATTACATACACGATTTTGTATTTTTTGTGTGGATTTTTTCTGAGGAGTCTCTAGCTTTCATCAGTTTCTCAAAGGGATGCAGGACCCTTGCCCCTCAAAATTCTAGAACTTTGCTCTTTAGAATTACCAAGCTAGAGTTATATCCTCTGCCTTTATGAGAGCTCCCAGAAATCAGCCTATCTTGGGCTAGGCTTTTCCAGAACAATACGGAGACTGTTTTCTGGCTAAGGCCTGCACCATCCCTACATTTCCTCTCCACACATTTTAAGCTGAGCATAAGGTCATGAGTGATCACCGAAAGTAGTTTTGGACAGAAGATTAAAAGACTAAGGAAGATTAATCTTCAAGGGTTTGAGGGGCTGCTTTAGGTTCTAAAGCGATGGGGGGGAGGGGGGCGCGGGTATTTAGGACAGACACCCTCAGGGCAGGAGTGAGATGTGAGGAAGAGAAGCTGGTTTCCTCACCTGATAAGTCGACTCTGTCTCAGCAGTGCGCTGTTTCCGGGTCACTACTGGGGTGGGGAGTGTTGTGGGGTGCAGAAACAGACAAGGTGGTGAATTGGGGACCACTTGATTGATGCAAAATCAGTTCCTCCATCACCATCCTTTTGGATGGTTGTGTCTTGGGAGTTTACCCCTCCCCTCCAGACAAGTCCTCAAAGCATCCCAGGCCATCCCCTGCCAGCCCCACTCACCATCCACGGCCCCTCGCCCCCGAGGGACTAGCCGGCCCAGGGAGTACACTGCCAGGGCGATGAGGAGGGTCAGCACCAGGTCCCCCAGCACAATCCCCGCCAGCACACCAGGGCTCACCACAGAACAATTGCATTCTGGGAATGTATGTGGGACAGGGGTCAGGGGAGGTCACTGGGAGTTGGGAATTGGGAGGAAGTGTTTGCAGGGGTAGGTTTGGAGAGATTTGGTAAAGGACAGAGATGGGGAGGTCTTTGGGAAGTGGGGAGGGGAATTGCAGGATCTAGGCCTACCGCTCTGGGCCTGGACAGCGCTGAGACCTGAGGAGAGAAAAAGAAGGTCAACTGCAGCTCAGGGGCTATGACCTGTGGGTAGGAGTAGAAGCTGGGGAGGGTGGGTTCTGATAGCTCGGGACCGAGGGTGGAGAGCTACATCTGGTAGATAGGACATGTGGCTGGCGTAATGGCCACTGGACTGTGTTACTTCTACACCGACTCGTCCTGTTACAACACCCTTAGAGTCCTTCCCCCTGCCTCTATCGGAGGCCAAATGTTGGGGGATCAGGTCCTGGGAGAGACCCATAAGGTTTGCGGGGCTGAGGATCCGCTCTCATCCCAACCCTCTCTTTTGGTTTTCTGTTTCCATACTGCTCCCTGCCCTGCCCCAAGCTGAGCCCAGGGACTCAGGAGGCAGCTGCAGAAGCCCCCGACTCACCACCCACAGTCAGAAGGAGAGGCAGGAGCAGGAGCCTGTTGGAGGGTCCAAGGCCCCCCATGGCGTAGGCAACGCTGCTGGACACCACAGTCCAAGAGCCGGTGGGATGTGGCGTAGTGTCCAACCAAGTGAAGGAGGAAGTCTGAGGTGGGCGGTGGCAGGAGGGAGGAGGGGATAATAGGGGAGGAGAGACAGAGGAAGATAACACCAGAAAGAATCATGCTCAGACACCCAGGGGCCATGCTGTAGCCCCCAATGGCTGGACATGAAGGGCAAAAAGTACATATGTCATCTCAACCTCCATACCCAAGCAGGGGTCAGATATCATTGTAGCAGGAGGATCAGTGGCTGGCTATGATTAACGCTAGCTCTGCCTTGTCACTCAACCTCTCTGGGCCTCAGTTTCTTCTATAAAATGAGGAGTAAAATAGTATCTACTTCATAGGGTGTTGTGGGTATCAAATAAATTAATGTTTCTAGAATAGGGACTGACACTTGTCAGCTTTTTACAAGCACCAGCTCTAACTATTAAATAATCAGAATCTTGTGATGGTCATAGGATATTCATGCACTACTGACATGCAGGTACTCTGTCCCAAGTGTTAACTCATTTAACCTCCACAACACCCTTCAGGGGTAGATGCTCTCTTCTTCCCTATTTTACAGAAAGGTAAAGACACTTGCCTAAAGTCACACAGCAAATAAAGATGAAAATGGAATGCAGGACCTAAGAACAGATATTTGACCTTTAGAGAGAAAGCAAAAAGAACCCAGGTGGAAAATAGCAAAGGAGAAAACCAGTGACACAGAGAAGGCGGGAGAGGAATAGACACATCACAGACATAGATTGGGAGTCGGGGTGATGATGTGGTAACCACTGGGCCAGGCTGGATTGCCCCAACCAATGAGGAAGTGGCTGGAAGAGAGGACTGAGGGAGGCCACCCAGGAGGAGACAAAGACTTCTGGCCCTCAGCAGGATCCTGAACTGGGGCTGGGGAAGGAGGAACCTGAGGTTAGAGCACTGGGGGGATGGGCCAGCAGCAGGAAGCCCCCCTCCTCCTTCCAGGCGTCACACCCCACAGCTCCCTGGGCCTGAGCTCAGGAGAAAAAGAGGAACTGGTTGCTGGTCATGAGATAGACGCTGAGTGTCTGTTGGGGGTGTGAGGGGGATGGGGAGTCTGGAGGAGGGTCAGGGCCCAGTCCAAGGCAGCACTAGCTGCTGACAAGGAGAAAATTTTGAGATGACCTAAATTAAATTACAGCGGCCAGAGGGTGGAAGGAAAAGACAAGAAAAGCTAATCAGTTAACAATTAAAGGGCAAAAGCAACAAAAGATGCTTATGTTCCTGAGTGTATGTTGAAACTTTGAATTTACTTCCAGCAGGCTATTTCTGTGATTATCTAGAGAATAGCCGAGTGGCCCACCACCAGTCATCACCAAACCCAGGCACCTCAGCTTCTTGCTTACTTGTGAACTTCCTGGACTGTTGCCCATCATTAATCCAAAGGAGCAAATGCTTCTTCCTTACAGACAATGCAAATATCCGAGAACTAGCCTTGCCTCACCTTCTCCCACCCTCTTTCTCGGTAGCCAATGTAAATTCTTTCAAAACAACTTACATCTTTCTTCTCCAAACTCATTGTATAAAAGAGCCTGCCAGCTCCAGGATGGCAGATGAGTCGTCTTCGCCATCTAGCTCTGCTGCTGGTGGTTTAGACTGCATGCCCCAGGACCTGGTCCTTTTTCTGGCTAGCATTTGGCTCAGTAAACCTTTCAGAAAAGCTTTTGGCCATGAAAGTTTTTGTTCAACACTGTTAACAGCTGTCATTACCCAGGCCTGGTTGAGTCTTGTCCCTAAATAACAAACACTGCCCCCTACCCCTCACCATCAACAATGCCAGGTCTGGCGTGAGCATGGAAACAGGCCTTGGCAGCTGTACTGGTACCCCAGGCCTCTCAAGGTGGCTGGAGCAGAGTGAGCCAGGGACTATCAGAGACTGGAAGAGGCTCTGAGCGAGGAGGACCCTGATCTGACTCTGGTGTTCACTGGCTCCCTCTGGTTTGGCATGGGGAGCAGACTGTGGGGAGCAGGGATGGGAGTGGGGAGCCAGGCTGCTGCAATGGGCCAGTTTATTGTGAGGATTTTGTGAGGTCTATTAGAAAGATGGCTGCCTGGCACACTGTAATGTGCAATGGATGTTAATCATTATCATTATTGTTATTGTTATAGTACCTCGAGTCTCTGGTTCTGGGCTCACCTTGATAAAAATCCTCCCTCAAACTCTCAGCCTCAGCCTCAGCCTCCTGATCTGATCTTCCCAACTCCAGCCAGGCCTAGGCTGTCCCCAGTATTCAGTCTAATAGCCAGCACACCTAGGCACCATCCAATCAGAACAGATATGGCCATAGTTTTGGGTCAGAGTCCTGAGCCCCCGTTTAGCTGCTGAGATGTGGGGAAGTCTGAAGTGCCCCAAGAGGACAAACTGAGGTGATGACAAATGTCTGTAGGATGTAGAGTAGAGGCTCTTTACCAATCAAAAGAGAAGTATCTCAATATTTTAGCAATCGGTATGACTGTACTGGTACAGACCACAGAATGCCAGCCTGAGCAGGTCTCTACTCCGTGGTCTTCACTCCACTGGGTGAAGGAAGAGGCTGAGATGGAGGTCACCCAGCTGACTGGGTGTCAACCCACCCACACAGGAAGCAGGGCTATCCTCCCTCCTCGCTTGAGATCTGTGAAATGTCTCAATCTCTCCTGGCAGCAGCCCTTCCTTGTCTCCCTTCCCCCACTACCCGAAGGTGTTCTCTGAACCTCCTAAGTAAATAACTTGAACTCGAATCCTCTTCACAGGGTCTTGTTCTGGGAGACTCCCACTAAAACGAAGAGTGTAATTCCCAGAAGGAAAGAGGGGCGCTGGGTCATCAGCACAATAGATACCCATGACATCTCCCATGCCTGCCCCTGTCTCAAAGAACCTGCTGCTTCGTAGTATGAACATGGCAACTACATATGCCCACCCCCTGGCTCTGGTCAAGTTACACCTGACCGAAAAATAGCAGTCAGTGTTCTTTGTTGCATACAGTAAAAGCCACTGTAACTAGTGTAAACAGAAAAGGGAATGAGTTCAAGGATGTTAGGAAGACAACTGAATCTCTGGGAGGGCCAGAGAATCAGTCCTGGGGCTACCCAAACCCTGATGCCACTCAGATTTTCTGCTAAGACTTCTGTCATTTGAATCGGAATCAATTTTACGGGTTGCCTTCTTCTCCTCACTCTCTTTAAAATCAAATTCTGATGTGAGTACCAAAATATTTACAGATAAAATGTATCTGGGATTTGCTAACTAACAATACAGGGAATGAATAGGAAAAGATGGGCCAGTCTTGGATGGTGTTGGAAGTAGATAGATTATTAAGAATTTCTCATACTCTTCTGTCTACTTTTCGGTCTTTTGAAAATTTTTCAAGTTAAAAAAAATTTTTAAACATGGGTGTATTTAATTGGCAGAGTGCAGGACACATGCTTGCACCACAGCTGCAAGGAAGTGGCGCTGGCAGTGGGCAGCCAACTTAGATCACAATGGCTGACTTTTTATTTGTAAAATGAGGCTTTTAAAATATAATTAAAGCAATAAATAGATTTAGCAATTGTAGTTCATCCATGTCATAAATGCAGTCATTACAAGTGAATTAGAACTCTACAAGCTGATTTGAAGGGTTCTTACCTGAGAAAAGCAAGATGCAGAGAAGTAAATATAGTACAATCCCCAAACAGTGACCAAAAAGAATCCCTTACAAATATGTGTATTTACATTTACATATTTGAGTGATGGTGGAGAAAGCAATTAAAAGGATACACCTCAGGCTGCTTACATTGGTAATATTGATGACCTGGGTCAAAATAGAAGATGGGGAGGGTAGGGGCAAAACAAGTTTGAAAGTAAAGGAAATATATGATAACAGCAGTGTGTGTAACATGATGCCGTATTATATATAATACGTTTATATATAACATATACATAATTATATACATCAAATTGCATATAACTGCATAGAAAAAGTGTGAATGTCTAGTCAGGAGAATATCAACAATGGTTATCTCTGGGTGGTAGAATTTATTTTATTTTTTTCAGGTTTTAAAACTTTTTATTTGCATACTAAAAAAATTGTGCATTCCAATAATTAAAATCATTTGAACAACAACAAAAAATAGCACTCTGATTAAACTGCATTTTACAGCCTGCAGGACACCTTGGACCAGCTTGGTTTCACTCTAGATTTCACCATCGTCCCACCAGCTTCTGCCTTCACCAACATGCAAGTTCTTTTCCTTCCTTGCCAGCCAGACAGGCCTGTGAGAGAGGCAGGTGCAGCCTTTACTGTCAGTAGTTCTTGGATGTGAAAAAGGGCAGCACAATTATTGAAACTTGATGCAACCTCTTTGCATCTTACAAAGTGAAACAGCTGAAAGAAGTAAATAAGAAGGCAATGCTTGTGGAATGTACAGTGCATAGTGGCGGTGCGTGCCTCATTACGATTCGCCTGCTTGCTTCTCCTGTTCAATTGTTTCTTTTGATGTCAGTGGGTTTTTTCTCTTGCGTTTCTGTCTTCTTCAATTTTGACATATCAAATTTCTCAATCTCAGCTATATCGGGTTTGTCAGACATGGTTGCAGAGGAAGCGGAGTGAGGCAGTGAGCAGTGAATCCGATCTGCTCAGTAGCTGTCGGTCGTGGAGTCAGGTGGTAGAATTTAGATGACATATTTTCTTTATTTTTAAAATTTGATTTGTTTTTCCGCAGGAAGTATTTTTAACCTATATAATCAGGAAAAATAAAGGTATTTCAATTTCAGAAAACACAAACAAAGTCAATTTTGTGAGAGAAAAAAATATAAGACTTCTGCTGCCAGTAATAGTGTTCTACGAAATCAGAAACCAGACTCCACTGGAGAGCAAACAAAACTCCAGGATGAAAAATATGGAGAAAATTACTAAAAGCAGCAAAGCACTAGTAAGAGAGTAAGGAAATACTGTCCAAAATCCAGGGTAAAACAAGAGAGGAATCCAAACTCAAATGCCCTCACTTTGTTCTGAGGGTGTTTTCCAATCCAGA